CGCAAACGACTCGATGGCACATAACAACAATAAGAACAACAGATGATATGTTACATTTAAAAAAAATTATTTTATTAAATTAATTTGTAAATGAACATTTAGAGATTTTGGATTTCCATTCATTCATTGTTGCACTTTTTCTCTACCTTCCCTCCCCCGCAGTTCGCTCCTCTCTTTGAAAAGCAAAAAATAAACTTCTTCATTAGTACACAATCCTCCCACCCCTCGGCCCGAATGTACTCCACTATGCAACCTTAATTCTGGATTCCTATGACAACCATAATAACCTATCATATATAGCTTTTAAACTGTTCTCACCCTGATTTCTTTCAATGCAGTATACATAATTTATCCAGTTTTTCTCAGTCTGATATCAGTCCCATTCTACAACACTGTGCCTTAGTCTTTAAACTAATATAATTGCTCCTTACAACTTTGGAGAGGCCCTTGACAGTAGATTTTCCTCAACTCAACACGTTTTGATGTTTTTACTGCTGGTACCAAGGTTTTTTGATGGACCCAAGCAACATCAAATCATTAATAACTTTAATCTTTTCTCCATATCTCATGATTTTGCCTATTAAGCCAGTGGTGAGTAGTTTTGATTTCATGATGTCAAGATGCAATCCATACTGAAGGCTGTACTTCTTGATCTTGCGCACTAAGTGTTTCACAGTACACAGCAGCTACATATTAAGTAAGAATTACTAACATTACCAGTCACATCATCACCATCTTTGCTAAAGCATGTTATTGTTGTCTGCCATTGAATTAGAATCATTAATTAATTAATTAGACTTTCCACTGGGTTTTCAGAGATGGAAGTTCATAGGGGAAGAGATTGCCCATCCTTCTCCTGCAGAACAACTGGTAGATTCGAACCACATGCCTTAGGGATTGTAATGCAGCTTCTTACCACTAGGCTACCAGAGCTCAAAATTAACCAGTGGCTCTATGGGAGACTAGAGCTCAAAATTTACCAGCTGCTCTATGAAAGAAAGATGGACGAGGTCGTTTGCTTTCATAAAGATTACAGCTTTCCAAATCTGATTGGATAATTCTCCTCTGCCTTGTACCATCTCGATGAATTGGAATCCACCTACTGGAACACAACCACAACCCTTAGGATAACAGTACTAGAATGGAGAAAAGAAGAGGGTGAGTAAAAAAGAAAAAGCAAACAAATAGAAAATGCATATGAGTAAAAAAAGATCAGGAAGAAAGACCTTGACAGGAATCAGAAAATGAGTGATAGATGTTGTACTTGTGTATCATAGATTAAGAACCAACTGACAGCTGACTTTCCAACAGGTTTTTAGAGGCTCGATGGGCAATTTCCTCCCCCCCCCCTTGTGATTAACTGTCTCTGAAAACCCTCTCCAGGGTCAGCTATGGGTCAGTTCTGACTCTATAGTACAACAACAACAACAAATAGCATAAGAGGACATTGTCCATCTTTCTCCAGTGGAGCAAGCAGCTGGTGGATTAGAACCACCTGCTTTTGGGTTGGTAGTCCAATTCCCTATCCACTAGGTCACCAGAACTTCTTAATGATAGATGAGAAGTCAACGGTTATTGGAAGGACAGGGAGTTAACTGGGTTTTAAGTGGGAAAAATCAAGATGAACCATTTGAATACATATTTCTAATTACATCTTCTTATCTATTGTGTCTCCAGAAGATACAACTGCATCATATAACTTTACACAGTTTTAGTTGAATTGACTCATAGCTGTCCCTCCAGCAGCTTTTTTAATGGGGGAGCGTGCCCATCTTTCTCCGCTGGAGCCAGCAGTCAATGTGAACAGGCACAGAAGTATCTGTTACTTTTGGGTTGGCAACACAATTCCCTCCTGACTATGCTACCAGCTAGAGCTCTCTTTATAAAGAAAAGAAGGAAGGAAAAAAAACCAAACCAAACACAAGCAGCTGCAAGGTGCCCGTGTCCTGGGATGATAAAATGGGGTTGGATCAAGGATAGAATCGTTTACACTGGGAAGCTTTCCGTAGGTGTCCCCGTGTGGAGAGATGACAGTCTCTTATGAGGTAATGTGCATGAAGACATTTGTATATTCTAAAGGACTGTACAAACATTATTGTTATTACCTATTCAGCAACACACACAGCTAAAGGTTTCCAATTAGAACTCCTTCACATTCTCCCCATCCCCAGGATGTCAAGCACCTTTGTAATATTTTTTCTCTCTTTTGAGGGGCAGCCAGCAGGGGATACTCACTGTGGACAGTGCATCCTGGCTGAGAGACACATGGTGAGAACGCTCCTGCAAAGATCTATGGGCAGCAACCTCCGAGTAAAACACCTTGAAAAGATGCAGAAGCCCATGGTGAAAGCAGAGCTAGGACTTTCAACACATCAGAGCCCTGGGAGCTAACTGAGCTCACAACCCTCCCCTTCTATACATCCAGGGTAGGTTGCAAGCTCATAGCCCTCAAAGGCCTAGCTTTTCCTACTTTTTCCTGAAGCCTTTGAATCTTCTAGGGAATCTTGCATTTCCCTACTTTTGACAGGACAGAAATTCAAAGATAAAGATACACTTTTCTACTTAAAGAGACACAAGTGCCTTGATACATGGCTACTGTCCTTGGACTTGTTGAAAGAGACAAAGAAACTGGTGGGTGTGATGTCATGGGGGGGGGGAGAGAGAGAGAGAGATTGATTGTGATTGTGTTATGTAGCACTGAAGAAGGCTGCTCAACTCCAGTGGGCCAAGCCCCATATAACATGGGTCTCATGTCTCCAACTCTCCAGTTTCTCCCCAAATTGCAGAACACCAGTTATTTATCTGAAAGCTTTTGACTCTTAGAGCTTCTCATAGTTTAACTCCGTTTGTAACATCTAATGTGGAGGAAAACATTCTCTGTTCCCTCCTCTCTTCCCAGCTGCTCCCTTTACTCTAGCTCAGGTGTGATGTTATTAGCAGCCTTCCACAGAGATTCTATATCGTTTCCCATGCTTCACCTTTATCCTCCAAACCTAACCCTTAGCAATTGGATAGTGGGAGCCATGTCTTACCCTTAATTTATTCTTTCCTATCCTTGAACAGAGTAAGGATTGTGGAGATCCTAATTGCTTGGCACAGCTGTACCTTTCAGAACACTTACATATGTCCTCGGAAGAGGGAACTTTAGTCTGGTGTCATAGAGGAAGAATGGGTCAGTTGAATGCTAGGATGTACAGTGATGTATGGGAGGGCTGGTAGGTGAAGGGCATTTCTAGGAGGAGCAAGGATGGATAGGACAGTCACCCCAACAAGCCCACTGCCTGTGTACTCACAGTGTATCCAGAAATGGCACCCCCAGAATGCCTGGGTATTTTCCACTGAACACTGATGGCTGTACAGTTCAACGTATCCAAAATGACATGGAGAGGAGGCCCCATCTTGCCTGCATAAAAAAAAGGACATCACGTTAGGAGCTCCAGCATTGTGCCTTTGGAATACTTCCAGAAGACTTACAATATATGCCGTCTGATACATGCTGAATGTTTTATGTCTTACGTATGTTGTATTTGGTGGTGGTTAATGCCAAGTCAATGCCAAGTCATGGTGACTGCATTTGTGCACAGCAAGATGTTCCACAAAGTATTCAAGCCGGTGGGTTTTCAGATGCTGAACCCTGGGCCTGCCTTCCAAAACACTAGCCTTTTGGCTAGTAGTTGAGTCTTAGTTTGTGCCACCTGGGATGCATATGTTTTCTTTAACACACACATATTATATGCAGTGTGCATTTTTATGCTGTACTTTTTGTATACTCTAATAAATTTTTACACACACACACACACACACACACACACACACACACACACACACATACTTGCAATTTTGAATCTTATTTAACTTGATACTTTGGACATATTGCAAGGTGGGATCAGTCCTTGTAGAGAGGAGTCATGCTTGGGAAGATGGAGGGACAGCCCAAGAGAGGAAGACCCTCGATAAGATGAATTTATTCAGTGACTGGGATAATGGAGGTAGGTGTGTCAGAGACAATAAAACTGGTACAGGATAGAGCAGGGTTTAGGCTGTTGTACATCGGGTTGCTGAGTCGCAGGCAACTCAATGGCACATAACAATAGCAGCAACAATTTTACTTGGTAGCACATATGATAAATGTAATGTTATTAAAAATTGTGAGGTAATGGATATGAATTTTTCCATCTAATGTAACAAGATTTATGGGTTTACTATTTCACTATTAGTAGCGTGGTGAGTAAGATGTTGCACAGCTACCCCAGAGGCAGGAGGTTCAAATGAACCATCTACTCTGAGGAAGAAAGATGGGTAATCTCCTCCTGTGCAATTTACAGTCTCCAAAATCCCACTGAAGGGTCAGATGTGAGTCAGTTCTGACTTTATAGCAATGAGTTTGAGTTGGTTGATTGTTAGACAATTTATTTTCATTATTTTGCTACTTTAGATAATGCTCCATGTGAGCAGTAACCAGATCTGTCTTTTCAGAGTAAGTGCAGAGATTACTAAATGATAGAGTTGAGTAAACCCTTCTTGAGTGAATGAATGGTTTGTAATTTGATTTGTCTTTTACTAAATCTTGATGATGTTTCTTTTTCCTAAAAAAAACCCCTTCTGTATATAACTCTTCGATATATCAGTTAGAATACTTCGTAATTCCCAGAGAGCTCATATAGCCATATATTGATCTTCTGCCAGAACTTCATTAACATTTTTTTAATTTTATGTTGGTTTCCTTACAAAGTTTGTATACACTGTGTTTCACACTATTCTTCATTCACATTGTGTCTCATACAATCATTCCCATGCGTTATATGTTATAAAATTAATCACCATTGGACCTTGAACGTCATTACCCCGTATTTTCAGGTCCCTGTTTGATCCTTCCTATTTCCTTCACTACCCGCCCCCCTTCAAACTGTGCAATCCTGTGGTTTTGCCCCTACCCATCATCACTCTTCTTCCCCCTGTAGGTCTCCATACACGTTTTACTAGTTATCCTTCTATTTTTACAATAATGGTCTTATGCAATATTTGTCCTTACAAGACCGAATTAGTTCATTCAGCATAATGCTGTCCAGTCTCTCCCAAGTTATATAGTATTTTTTAAAATTGTTGCTCCTGAGTGATGCATAGTGTTCCATTGTGTTAATGCACCACAATTTCTCAATCCATTCAGTTGTAGTTGGACATCTGGGCTATTTCCATGTTCTTGTGATGGTGAATACTGCTCCTTTGAACAGTGGTGTACAAATCTCCGTTTAAGTATCAGTTCTAATTTACTTGGAGTATATTCCTAGTTCCACTAACATTTTAAGGCTTTTGTGGCTGCACGCTGTTATTTAGAAGAATTATGAGACAAGAAGACAGCTTTCTACTTACCCTGTACACACTGACCACCACTCCCCACAGCCAGAATTCAAGTTTCAAAAATCTTCCAGCCTTAGCCTTTGTTCCAGATTCAAAGTTTAATCTGGTTGGCACGACTAAGATCATGTCCTTTCCTCCTTACTCAGCAAAGGGGCAGGAGAGAAAAATCAGTCCTTTCTGGGTTCCAAACTGGCAAACAACAGAATGGTGTGAGCCCTAGACAGTTTTCTTCTATCATGTCTATCCACAGCAAAGAAGTCACTGGAATTTTCGAGATCATTGGAATATGGTAGTGGCAGGTCAGATGGCTCAAACCTCTTCTATAGACAACACGTCCACACATCCATCACTACTCTATTGTCAGTAGGGAGCTCTACTGACCTAGTGAGAAGAGAGTTGCATTATCACCCCAAAGGCAGATGGTTCAAATACAGAAGCTGCTCCTTGGGATTTCTCTTGGGCAATATACTCTCAGGCAATTTACAGCCTCTGAAAAGCTGCTGGAGGGGTAGCTATGTAAAAGTCAGTTTCGACTAGATGACAGTGAGAGTTGAATCCACTGACAATGCTTGTTGTTATTGTTGTTAGGTGCCATCAAGTCTAGTACAAATCATAACAACCCTATGAACAACCTATCTGAACTCTTTCCTATCCTTTGTGATTCTCACAATCTCTGACATACTCAAGTGTACTACTGCAGTGACTCTATCAATCCATCTGGTTGAGGGTCTTCTCCTTTTTCATTCCCTCCACCTTCCCAAGTATGATGCCCTTCTCCAAGTAGCAACTTCTAGCAACATGCCCAGAGTAAACTCCTGGGTACAAATCAACAAGAGGCTGTCGTCTCTGGCTCAGAGGGATTCCTTGTTCTTCCCATGTATCTGGATATTTTCACTTCCCCCTAAAGAGCAAGAATTAATTTTATGAAAGAAAAAGTTGTCTTACTAATTGCTAATTATATCTGTGTGCTGACTGGGTCAGCAGCATGTAGGGCACATCACAGAGGCACAAGTACTACCAAGTAAAGATGGAAGCTACCATCTAACGCACGCTGTCATTGCTGTGTATCATGGAGTCAGAACCAACCCATAGCTGACCTTCCAGTGGGTTTTCAGAGGTAGTACATCTCACTGAAGGAGTCTGCCCATCTTTCTCCCTGGGAGCAACTGGTGGATTTGAACCGCATGCCTTTAAGATTGCAGTGCAGTGGTTTTCCACTAGGCCACGTATCTAGAGTGATGGTGTTGTTTGCGAGGTGCTGTGGAGTCAGCTCTGCCTCATTGCATCCTCATGTATGACAGAGAGAGACACTTTTAATTCACACACCATTCTCCCAATTGTTGCTTTGTCTGAGACTTTTTTGCAGGTACTGTGTCAACCTATCTCATTGAGGCTCTCCTTTTCTCTGACCTTCTAATTCCCCAGTCATAATGTCCTTGTCCAGGGACTGGTCTTGCCCGATAACATATCTAAGGTCTGCAAGACAAAGTCTCACTTCCATCCTCATTTCTTGTCATTAGGGGCTGTTATTATTATCACTATTTGAGAAATGAAAACCTGAAATGCAGAGTATGTGAGGCAAAGTTTCATCATCTTTGCCTCTGAGGAGCACTCTGGCTACACCTTCTCTAAGACATATATATCTGTTTGTTCTTTTGGCAGTCCATGGAATGTTCAGCACTCTTCTCCAATACCACAGTTCAAAGGTATTAATCTTCTGTTATCCACTATCATTGTCCAGCTCTCATATGCATAGCTGATTTGGATTGTGGAACCAAGTAAGTTGAAGTAGTTGACAGTCTCAAACCTTTTCTCAATCCACCATAATGTTGCCAGGGGCAAGGATATCTATTTGCTTGATGTTGAGGTGCAAAATCTATTTCGAAAGCTGCAGTGTTCAACCTTCTGCAGCAAGTGCTTCAAGTTCTCTTCATTTTCAGCAAGCAGGATAGGTCCATCCACATAACAAAGGTTATTGATGAGTCTTCCTCTAATCTTGATACAATATTCTTCTTTATATAGTCTAGCTTTTAAAAGAATTTGCTCAGCTTACAGATATGGAGAAAGGATACAAATGTCACACATGCCTTTTTTAAAAAAGGCTTTTGGCTGCCAGTCTGGGGCTATTTCCAGGCTGGGAAGAGGAGTGGAATGGTTGGATTCTGCAAAGGTGTGCTTTCTGGTTTGGGGTTAAGACTAGGGTGTGGCTTTGCTCACAATAGGGTGTGAGCTGATTGGATTTGGCCATGTATTTTAAAAAGGCTTTTGGGACCTTGGGCCAGGTTTTTGTGAATCTCCAAAATAAAGCAGGCTTGGAAGCAGGAGTGGCATCTACTTAAAAAAAAAAATAAAAAATAGCTGTCTCCAGAAACTCTATAAACTTGGAGAAAAAAATGAAAGTTTTGTGTTCAGGACTTTTGTTAATAGGGTCACTATGGGTTGTCTACAAATCTACAACATTTAACAAGAGGGCTCCCTTGCTCTGTTCTCACAACAACTTCTTGGTGTAGGTATAAGTTTCGTGTAAGCACAATTAAGTGTTCTGGGATTCTCATTTTTCTCTTTGTTAGCCAGAATTTGTTATGATCCATACAGTCAAATGGCTTTGCATGGTCAATAAAGCACAAACAGACATTCTTCTGGTATTCTTTGCTTTCAGCTAAGATCCACTGGACATCAGTAATGACATCTTTGGTGCCATGGCTTCTACTTAATCTAACTTGAATGTCTGAAAGTTCTCTGTCTGTGCACTGTTTTAGTTGTTTTTGAATGATCCTCATTGGTATGTTGCTTGCATGTGATATTAATGATATTGTTCTACAATTCCCACATTCTGTTGGGTCACCTTTCCTGGGAATGGGAATGGGAACAAATAAGGAGCTCTTCCAATCACTTGGCCGGGCAGCCGTCCTCCAAATCCTGGAATAGACTGTTGAGCATGTCCAGGGTTGCCTCTGTCATTTGGAACATGTCAATTCATATCCCATCTATTTCTGTGACCTTATTGACAACTCTTAGGTTGTTACAAAAATTTACTGCT